ATTACTGCGGTGGATAGAGCACAAATAATCACTATGTAGTTTGCGCTTAACAAAAGAGAAAATTTAACCGCATATCTGGTAGTTTTTAAAGAATGAAAATAATTTTACAATGGAACATATTCAAAGGTAAAATTTAACAGCAAAGTATAATTCACTCTGTACCTTCTAAAGTTGATTCATATTCCTGATAGTATTTACAAAATTTTCACATACCTTAAAAAGCAGTCTTAAATATCCCACTCTGCTACTTGGACCAAGCAAATGTATCACGAGTTAATAATATGAGATGTAAAACGGGTTTATTTGTCTTCATTGTCTGCGTAACGCTTTTATTACTTTAGATTATGGCCCGGCATGACCAAGTGGTTAGGGCGCAGGACTCGCAAACTGAGGGTCGCGGGTTCGAGTCCCCGTCCCACCAAACATGCTCGCCCTTTCAGCCGTGGGGGCGTTATAATGTGACGGTCAATCCCACTATTCGTTGGTAAAAGAGTAGCCCAAGAGTTGGCGGTGGGTGGTGATGACTAGCTGCCTTCCCTCTAATCTTACACTGCTAAATTAGGGACGGCTAGCGCAGATAGCCCTCGTGTAGCTTTGCGCGAAATTCGAAGCAAACAAACTTTAGATTATATGTCTAAATTTGGAACGTGCATTTAGTATTGTGGCGTAACTACAAAAGATGCCCCCCCCCCCAATATAAAAAATAACTGCGCCCCTACATTTATTTCCCTGTAATTATAGTTACGATTCTGGCTGATTGATATCAATAACTTAACAGAATAGTACAACCGATCTATAGTTCAAACAAATTTAATTGTATGTCTCATCCCATGTCGGCAATTATTAAGTTTGCCAGGGGTGGCGGGAACATACTTACGAATCTGATTTATTAGTACCCTAAGTAAAGTAAGACAAAATATAAGTGTTCATCTTTTGGAACCCCCTAGTGGCACAGCAATATGTCTGCGGATTTACAACGCTAGAAACCGGGTTTTGATACCCGTGGTGGTCAGAACACAGATGGCTTTTTGTGTAGCTTTGCGCTTAACTACAAACGAAATAAAACATCTTTTGGAGAATTTACATTTCTACCAAGAGATGGCGCTAAATAGTAATACTCAGTTCAGTCCGATGTGAGTATGAGGCAGGGTGTGATCTAAAGTTATCATGCTGGACTGTCTATGCTTCGCATCTGGGTGCCACAAAATCGCGCTCCGCAATTTGTTATCGAGAGTGCATTATAAAAGTGACGATCAATCATTATTCGATTAAAGCTGCCCAAGAGTTGGCGGAGGGTGTTGTTGACTAGTTGCCTTATTTCTGAATTATCAGATTAAAATGCAAGACAACTAGGAAATATAGCCCTTCTGTAGCTTTGCTCGAATATCTGAAACAACCATCCGGAATAAATACTGCAGTAACTTTTTATTACGATCTAACAAGAAGGAATGTTATCTTGTTATCGTTTGCTGCTTATGTGCCTGTGAATCTTTATAACTTAAGTCTTCTCATAATTTTTCTTCACAGTGTATAGTACTAAATTATATAGCTAACACCGGCTTTGGGCTCTGGTCGTTGTCACGAGCAAAGTGTATTTCATGGTACAAACACTGCAAACGTTATTATGTCATAGTTGTATTTTAGAATGTGTGCACAAAGCTAGAGATGAATTTGTATGCGCACAGCCGTCCTCCCTATTTTATAACTGGCAGACTAGAGGGAATTCACGGTAGGCAACTAGTCGACAGCACCCACCGCCAACTCTTGTCTGACCAAATAGTTGGATTTCATTGTCACTCTAATAACGAACCCACTGTTTCAAAATATATCTACTTTGTTAATTTATTTTCTTATTAAAACTTTCTGATGACAGGCTTAACGAATTGGATAGGAACGGGAAAGTCTTATCGACAGGTCACAGGTCTTTCAGTAAAAATATCTTTAGAAAATGAATAATTATACTAAATATGAACGTTGTCCATTATTACTTTAGTTACCAGTGAATACATAGGGTGTTATGGAAGTATTGTGGTACGTAAATATCAATTGGAGTTGAAATCTTCACCCTCACTAATAACACCTCATAGGGTGTTATGGAAGTATTGTGGTACGTAAATATCAATTGGAGTTGAAATCTTCACCCTCACTAATAACACCTCATAGGGTGTTATGGAAGTATTGTGGTACGTAAATATCAATTGGAGTTGAAATCTTCACCCTCACTAATAACACCTCATAGGGTGTTATGGAAGTATTGTGGTACGTAAATATCAATTGGAGTTGAAATCTTCACCCTCACTACAGCAAAAACTGAGTAAGGAAATAGAATAAGTCGTGAAGAGAGGGTGACAATTATCAAATAAACAATGATAGTGAGAATATTCCAATGGACAGTAGTAGTGAGCATGTCACTATCAATATAATTATGTGAAATTCAAGGAATGAAAGACGCATGCAAGAAAATTGCCAATAAACACGCACAATGTCATTAATTTATATACCTTAAAAATTACCAATAAACACGCACAATGTCATTAATTTATATACCTTAAAAATTACCAATAAACACGCACAATGTCATTAATTTATATACCTTAAAAATTACCAATCTTGTCATAAATCTATGAAAACACCAATCTTCTTAGAAATATTAAATTACTATTGTGAGGAAGTTAATATAAAATACTAAAAGTATCATTATTAGAACCTGAATACTTTAAATTCGGACGTTTCGGGTTATTATTATTTAAATTTCACGTGCTTAAGGTAGTTTTTTAAAGATAATTTAATTTGACATGATTTCACACACATATAGGCCTGGCATGGCCAGGTGGATAAGGCGCTCGACTCACAATCTGAGGGTTGCGGGTTCGAATCCGCATCCCACCAAACATGCTCGCCCTTTCAGCCGTGGGGCGTTATAATGTGACGGTCAATCCCACTCTTCG